TTTTTATTTGTCTCACCTGTTTTGTGTACCTTTCTCTCCCTGCCTTCTTTTAGAATTAAGTGTATTTATTCTTCCATTTCTTCCTTTTATTGTCTTGTATTCTTTTACTATTTTTTTAGTGGTAAACTTAGAGATTAAAACCTGACTCTTTGAATTATTGCTAATATAAAGTAATACTTTTGCCTATTGCCAGAAAATGCTTTGACCTTAGAACACTTTAACTCTGTCTACTGCCTTCCACCTTTTGTGTTATTGCTGTTACACATGTTGCTTCTACGTATATTTTAGACCCCCTAAGATATCAATATTGTTCTGTTCGGTCAATACACTTTTATATTTACCCACATATTAAAACTTTCTGCTGCTCTCATTTTGTTTTTGTCTTGGGATCATTTTTCTTCAAGCTGACAAACTCTATTTAGTATTTATTTTAGTGTAGCTAGGCTGGCAACAAAGTCTCTCAGTTTTTATTTACCTGGAAATGTATTTTGCTTTGACTTAAAAAAAATCAACTTCATCCAAGTATAATTTTATACAATAACATTCACAGATTTTAAGTGCACAAGTTGATGATTTTTGACAAACCATATATATGTATATATGTACGTGTGTATATATGTATATAGGTATCCATATATATACATACACACACACATATATGTGATATATATATATAGCACTCCAGTCAAGATAAAGAACATTTCTGTCTCCCCAGAAATTTCTCTTATTCTTTTGTGCAGTCAATTTCTCCCCTGCTCCTTTCCCCCTTCCCAGAACACCACTGCTCTGATTTCTAGATCAGACTTCTAGAGTCATATGAATGGAATCATATACTATGTCCTCTTTTGAGTCTGGTTTCCCTCACTGAGCATAATATCTGTGATACTCATTTATGTTTTATTAGTATTTCATTCTTATTTATTGTTAAATAGTGCTCTCCTGTATGAATGTACCCCAATTTGTTGATCTGTTGACCTGTAGTTGGCCTCTACGGGAGCCAAAAGCTACTCTATCATAGCTAGAAGTGGAAGCCCCTTGTTTAAAACAACCCACAAAACTATCAGAACCTCTGAATCTTTTCAGAAGGCAGATTTCTAGAATGTGAAGTTACTAAATTAAAACTTTTCACAGGCTCTTGATACATACTGTCAAATGGGTTTCCAGAAGGTTTCCACCAATGTACATTCCTACTTGTGGTGTATGAGAGTCACTGTCTCACTATACTATCAATAGCATTTTTGTATCTTATTTTTTTGTCTTTGTAAGCATACAGAGCTGCAAAATTACATCTAGCAGTTGGAAGGAATTTTACCTCAACTCTAAACCAGTAGGTCCCCTACTTATTTTCTGAGTTTGAAGAATTATCAGTGACCTCACTTTTTTAACCACTCATGTCACTGACTTTCTGAGAAAGTCAATTCAGAGTCATTCCTGGCATCACTATTTCAGAAGGAAGAGGGGACAGGGCAGGAGCTCAGTGTCTCCCTCCCCCAGCCTGCAGTGATTCCTCTAGAGCTGCACTGTCCAGTACAGTAGCCACTGGCCACGTGTGGCTATTGAGTACTTGAAAAGTGGTTGGTCCAAATTGAGGTGGGCTGTCAGTATAAAATACACACCGAATTTCAAAGCCTTAGTATGAAAAAAATGAATGTAAAATATGTCACTGATATTATATTGATTACATATTGAAATAATATATTGAATACATTGGGTTAAATGAAATATATTTTTAAAATTAATTTCATTTGTTTGTTTTTACTTTATTAAGGTGGTTATTAGAAAATTTTAAATTATACATGTGGTTTATATTTTATTTCTATTCAACAGTCTGCTTTGTAGTCTTACAGAATTCTTCTCTCTCTACTTCGTTTTTCCTTTGACTGTCTTCCCTCCCCCAATCCGTGTTTCATTTTCTTCAGAGAAGCTTCCCTGGATCTTCTCTTTGAGGCTGTGCCAAATTTATATTTAGTTTAGAAGATCAAATTGCAAGATGGGACGTGGGCACAGATTTCCATAAGGAGCGTAAGGAGGTGGATTGACCCTGGGATTCTCTTACCTGGGAACCAAACCTCTCTGAGGGCAGATCAGAAAGCCAGGAAGAAGAGGAGTGGGTGGGGGTGCCCTCTAACCCCCTAGGCTCCCAAGGGGCCCCCTCCCTCCTCGCCAACAGGCTATACCCCACTTGCCTTTGACTCCCCTGATCTTTTTGACTTCGTCTCTCTGCTTGGTTTTCCATCTTTTCTTCTTCTGTGCATCTTGTTTTCTGGCCGCCTCCCCTGGCTTGATGTTGTCTTTGGTTGTTTCTTGGAGCTTCCCCACCAGGGTCTCCAACTTCAGTCCTCACTGCTCTGAAACACTGCCCCGGGAGAGCCCACCCATTAGAGCAGGCCCAGCTCCCCAAACCTGACTGTGGCCCAACCTTGGTCTCCTGTTTGCCTGAAAGTGCAGGTCAGACCCTCTTCACCAGCCAGACCTACCCTTTAGCAGGTGAGGAAAGGATCCCCCTCAGGGCCAAGAGATCCCTGGCTCTCTTTAGTGTTTCTCGTAACCAGATGCCCATAAACTGAATTTCTCTATGGTGTCCCATGACGTAGATCTGGTCCATCCCTGGATTCTGTTTTCTCTTCTGCCATCCACATCTTGTTAAATTCCTGCTGAATTGAGCTAACTGCAAATCTGATTAAATCTCAAACCAGGGCTTTGGAAGTTACAAAACAACAGCCTTCTTGCCAGCTGGCTGACGTGTAATTCTTTGCTTAGGTGGCCATAAATCAGGAGACTTTCCTTAAGTTTCTGCCTTTGATGGCAAGAAGTGGAGATGTCTGTGGGGGTATTATGGAGAAAGGCTGGGAAGAAAAGTCACTGGTTTTGTGGGAATCACAGGCTTGGAAGAGACAGGAGCTGTGACTAAAACGAGAACCTCATTGTAGACAGATGAGGATTAGGAGAGGAGGGATGAATTGTAACACCCTCCCACGCCCTCTAAATGGAGCCATGGCATGAAGAAACACTGAATCATGAAGTGGGAAGGTAGTTCCCTTGCCAGTTCTCTCGGATTTAGGATTATCTTAAAGAGAAAGTCTCAATTTTGTGCTACAATGTCTTTAACACTTCTCAAATGCTTCTAAGAGAAAACAGGCCTTGGACCTAGAACCTTTCCAGGCAGCACTGTGGGACTCACTTATGGCTAAAAAAAACCCAACCGTGACTATGTTGCCTGAATGACTGACATTTAGAACACACTGTCCTAGAGAAAGAAGGTACAGAGAGTACTCTGAGATTCTAGAGTCCTGGATTTAAAAATTATCCTCTTGCCAATTTCATTCATTTGTTCACCATTCGTTATAGTAGAATTTTCAAAGAAACCTTTCTTTTCTTTGATTTTCCAGAAAGAAATTGGAAACTGAATATTTAAGAAGTGAATGTTGTTTTAAAATATTCTGACTTACTTCAAAAAATGATACCAGAAACTTAAAAAGGTATTATTAACCACCGACTTAAATTTAATATTATCAACTAGTATCCCTTAACAGAACCAGTTTTCTAAAGCTATGGATCCTAAAGTGGATCATAGAATTGACCACAATAGAAAAGGCTGAATTAGCATCTAATAGATTAGCACAATTTTAGTGGAATAGTAACTAACCAACCATTTTCATCCCTTTAAATTCTGTTTGGTAAGGATCTCTTGCCCTTCTGTTTCTTAGAATGTTAAATTGTACTGTCTGTCTCTTGCTCAGTCACTCAGATCATAAAAGGAAAGTTATTGTATAGGGTCCCGCTGAGCATCTTTATACAGCTTGCAGTGTTTAGCAACTTGATGGGTAACAGAAGAAGAAATGGAAGCATGTCAAAGAGCAGGAGATTCATGTGTGACCTGGTGGAAAAAAGTATTGAGAACCACTGCGCTTGAATGTTAACAGACGTGGGCTTATGAAACACACATTAATGATGCTGACAGTGTTTAGAGGTCTATGAATATTTTTTTTTTGGAGCTCTACAAAAAAATTTTAAAACTATCTTTCTGGAACGTGTGGGTTTTCCCACCTAGGTGAAGGACTAAGTGGCCAGTTCAAGGCCTTTCTACTTCCAGAATTATGATCTATTTTATATACACAAGAATGACTGGAGAAGTGGCTCAAGGATCTTATGCTATATGAAAGCAATCAGTGCAATTTGGGGGTAACTCTGATGAACCCAAGCTATTGTTTATACCCACGTAAAATAGCTTGGGCCTCTGTTCCCACCCAGACGGGAAGTTCGGCACGTGCACAAGGCTTTCCAGGACTTCCAAGGAGGTGGCATCTCCTGGTCACCTACCGCTTGGAAGTCCACGTCACCTCCCCCTTCTGCTCTTGCCCCCCCTCTGTCCTGCTTCACGCCACACACGGCCAGCGCTCCTCCTTCATTCCCCAGGATGCTTGTATATAACAGACTTTGCCGAAGGTATAAGGAACAGTGGAGCGGGGCTTCCAGAATAGAGGATCATGACTGAGACGTCACTCTTCCCAGGTTCCTGGGCTCTGGCTACCACAGCAGACTTCATGCTGACTGCCTCTCTCCTCAGGCCATTTTGTGCTCAGACCCTCTCTCCTACCAACTCCCACAGTTCCTCTGCTCCCAATTCTGGCCCTCTCCCCTCTTAGGATATGCGGAAACCTCCAATCCCAATTAGCCTAATTATGCAAAATAATATATCTTTCCATCTCTATCCCAGTCTAGGGTTGAGGCACACTTTTGTTTTTTTAAAAAAATAATAATAATAATTAAGAAGTGTTGCTGAACAAAAGAGTTGTCTACCTCTGGTCGTCTACCCTAGCAATGTAACCCAGGAGCAGAAGCAATTAAATTAAGATTTTTTTCTTTACTGTATCTCAGATCAATGTCTTAAGCATGACCCCTTCCTGCTCTAACTAGAGAAATTCCAGGACCAAAGGGAGGGGGAGGAATGTTTCCATGGCTCTTATTTTGTTGATGATTTCATTTGTCTCTTCAGCGGCTGCACTGAGAGGCAGGGGCCTTGAGGGCCGGCCCTGGATCCTGACTGCCCTTCTGCCAGGAAGACACATGCAGCCAAAGATGAATTCGGGAAAAGTAGCGGCTTGCTCCTTTAACCATGGAAAAGCAGGGCTACGGTGAGATGGAAATTATCCCGTCAGAGTCTCAGTCCCACATTAACTTGTTGAAAATCAACCGGGAGCTTCTGGTCACTCACATCCGCAACACTCAGTGTCTGGTGGACAACTTGCTGAAGAATGACTACTTCTCGGCCGAGGACGCAGAGATCGTGGGTGCCTGCCCCACGCTGCCCGACAAGGTGCCAGGGCAGGGATCGGAACTGGCAGCATGCGAGCCTTCATAGCCAGAGGGGCTTCTCCCATGTGGCCTGAATAAGGCGCTTTGGGAGTTTAGTACATTGGGCAGAGTTTCCCATTGGGGTCATTGATAGAGTATAACACTTGAGTTACCAGCTATTTACACAGTTATGTATTTTACTTCTGTGTTCACGTCGAGAGCAAACTCCTCTTACCTCTCAGCTCTCCTTGCTGCATGTATTTGTTCCTAAACAACTCGTTTTTCAGTTCACTTTAAATTAGTAAGAGGGAAAAGAAAATGAGCATAAAACACTAGCAGCGCTATTCGTTCAGTGCCTTTAAACTCGAGAGCTGCCCCCTGCTGGCTCAGACTCTGGTTGGGGAATGACTGCATCCCAAGCTGGGTCCAGAAAAAGACTTTCCACCCCCCACTGTGGGAAGTCTCAACAGCCCGTAGTTTCATCTCAGCTATGTGTCATCTCCTGAAAAATAGAACTGGCGAGACCAACAACTCCTTGTTGGTTAGAGGTGTGACAGAGCTTGTTTGTAATGTGGTCCTGCTGGGCTCAGAGGAAACCTCCAGAAGGGTTTCTGGGGGAGGTGCTGCAGTAGCATACTCATGTGATCTTTTTCCTGCCTTTTTAATAACACATAAAGCCGTTTTTAAAGGATAACTTACATGGGGTCTGTTATCCCCTCGCTGTATGGCCCTGCACCCACCTCATTGTGCCTCAGGGGTGACTTTCTCCCCTCAGCACTCATTCCTGGAGAGCAGTAATATTAGGTTAAGAGGGAAAAGGAGACAGAGAATTCCAGGGGTGGGCACGGCTCTAGTTGTGAGTCTGCCCTTTTAATTTTTAGGGTCATGAAAGCCTCCTGGTTTCTTAGAGCTGTGTGGTTTTATTTCTTGCTAAGGCGGTCCATTGCACAGCTCTGGGCCTTCAATGTGTAGCATCTCATGCCAGGTGGGTGGACAGTCAAGCTTGAGGCTGTAGTTAGAGCTCAGAGCCCTGCGTGCGGGCCCTTCTGGTGGGAGGACACCCCTAGTGCCACCTAACACCCTCATGCTTGTGTCACCACCAGGTCCGCAAAATTCTGGACCTGGTACAGAGCAAGGGCGAGGAGGTGTCCGAGTTCTTCCTGTACGTGCTGCAGCAACTCGCAGATGCATATGTGGACCTCAGGCCTTGGCTGTCGGAGATCGGCTTCTCCCCTTCCGAGCTCATTCAGAGCAAAGCTGTTGTCAACACCGACCCAGGTCAGTCAGCCCCAGGGGGACTGCAGCCACCAAGCAAGCAAGGCCCTGGGGTTTGGAAATGCGGTAGTGTGTGGGCCCAGCAGGGCACAAAAGCATGGCCCACCATGGCCGGCCCTGCATTCCACCTCAGGCAGCAGGCCCAGGTGCTATGTTCCTTTTGGAAAAGGAGAGCTCGTCCCTGTTACCTAAGTGTAGCCCAGGGGCCTGTGATTGTACTGACCACATGTACCTGGTCTGATGTATATAGGCGCCCGTGGAAGTGTGGGAATAGTCTCTGTTCTGACCTCTTGCTTACTTCCTATTCTGACATAAGTAGACATTTCAATGGTTGCACAAATTCAAGGTTACATTTTTTTTTCCTTTTTAAAATCTTACCAAATTTGATTCTAGGCAAAGTATTTTTCTATCAGCCCTGGATGCCAGTCGTTATTTCCAAAGCACCAGGGCACCCCATGAGCTGACTGATTAGTTCAACAGGTACTTATGATGTACCCACCATATGCCAAGGCACCGTGCTGGATGCCAGGGGTGCATTGGGGACCCAGATATTATTCCTGCCCTCAGGGAGGTCAGAGGCTAATGCAGGAGCCCAACAGTAAAGAATCATATGAATATATAATTGCACGTGGTGATAAGGAGAATGCAGTTCAAGATGCTGTGAGTGCACGTCACTGGGGCCACGATCTGGTCTGGGGGCCGGCAGTCTTCTATCTGCTTGAGCTCCCTCCACTCTGTGGGCAACATACCAGCCCCAAGGTCACAAACTCTGATTTTTAAAGAATCCAGTTTGACCTTGAAAACAGAAACAAAGGACAGTGTCCCAGCTAGTCAGGTGTGTATTTAGAGGAGACCCGGCCAACTGGCAGTGTGAGGGCCCAGCTCTCGCTCCTGCGGCCCCAGCAGACACCCGCCGGCCTTTGTTAGCTTCTTGCTCTTGCTGCTTCTTCCCGCCACACTGTTTCCTTCCCCCATAAAAAGGAAAATATTCCCACAATGGATAGTTCTTTCAAAAGACTTCCCCACTGGTTCCTTCAGCCAGCTGCTTTAATAGCCTTTAAAGTATAATTCACTCTACGAGAAGCCAGGTGTGAAATACTACGTATTGTATGATTCCATTTACATGAAATGTCCAGAAAAAGCAAATTGATGGAGGGGCCAGCCTGGTGGCGTAGTGGTTAAGTTCACTTGCTCTGCTTTGGCGGCCCGGGGTGCACAGGTTCGGATCCCGGGTGCAGACCTATGCACCACTTGTCAACCATGCTGTGGCAGGTGTCCCATATAAAGTAGAGGAAGGTGGGCATGGATGTTAGCCCAGGGCCAGTCTTCCTCAGCAAAAAGAGGAGGATTGGCAATAGATGTTAGCTCAGGGCTAATGTTTCTCACAAAATAAATAAATAAAAGCAAATTTACAGAGACCGAAAGCAGATGAGCAGCTGCATAGGCCAGGGGTAGGGGCAGGGATTGGCTGCAAATGTGCTTATGATGGAGACGTTCTAGAACTAGATTGTAGTGATGTTTGGGTAACTTTGTAAATTTACTAAAAGTCATTGACTAGTACACAATGTCTATTATGAAATAGCTGAATTTTATAGTATGTAAATTATGCCTTAATAAAATGGTAAAAAATATAATCAACTTTACAACTTGTAAGCAGACAACCAGATTGGACTAAGTTGATGGGAAAGGGTTATAGATGAATCTGGAAATGTGCATGTGTGTCTAATTTTTGTTAATTGAATTATAATTAAAATCCAGAAATGATTGTAAAGGAGTTCATAGAACCTCTTTTGCTTGGGGAAGGACCACCTCCCTTCCATTTTGTAGCTCAGGTTTGCTGAGGGTGTGGCGCCCACGTAAGCACGGTAATGCGTTAATGCCCCTGCACGCAGGCACAGAGCTCAGCCTGGGCCATGTGCTAAGCAACAGTGATCCCCAGGCCTCAGCTTGGGAGCAGGGCTGGTGTGCTCTGCAGAGTATAAGAAGGCTGGTTTTCATCTTAGTTTACTCAGTTGTGGTGTTTTAGATGAGGCAGGTTGATGTCGAATGTTGTATCTTATCGCCAAGAGGCAGGTTAATGTCGAATGTTGTATCTTATCGCCAAGAGACTACCTGTTGCTTTAAGAGCAGTGTAATAAGCAAAAGAAAGGTTAGGGCCGTTTCCTTCTCAGCAATACGCAGTTCAGTGGGAACTGGCTCCAGCTATTTGGTTTTGTTTGTTTGTTTGTTTGTTTGTTTTTGTGAGGAAGATCAGCCCTGAGCTAACATCCGTGCTAATCCTCCTCTTTTTGCTGAGGAAGACCAGCTCTGAGCTAACATCTATTGC